TATAAAGCAGCCCTTGAAATTCCATAAAAAGAGGTCCCAACCTTATACCACCACAGTAAATATGCTTTTACTTTATTTTTAATTGTACTTTGCTGCTTTGCTGTTTGTTACCCTGAACCTCATTGAGAAGAAGGATGGGATAAAAATGGAATAATAATATGATATACAAATGAGAATATGCCCCAAGGGAGTCAAAATTAGCTATAACTGCCTGGTGCATTCCTACATATTTACAGGCATGTGTTTCCACTTTCCATGGGCTATGGAACTTTATTTGTCCGTTTTTCAAAACATATATTCTTCCTATCATTGACACATTCAAGGCAGCTACATATCTGTTTTGTGAACTGAGCCTAATGAGAAAAGTTTCCAGGTAGATTCCCGCTACTTCTGCTCACTTGGGTTACCAATTTGCAGCTGTCTTCTGACTGGCCTACAAAATAGGCCAATCAGTTCCTCGTTTACCTTCAAAAAAATTGAGAAGAATCATAGAGCCACACACACAGTTACTTCCTCTTTCCTTGAGGATCATAGCAGCACATGGATTTCAAAAGGAACTGCAAAATAACTCAGCACACATTTATATCAAATGGTATTTGTTGTTATTGTTAAATTCATTGTTGAATAAGGTTGTTATTATGCATGGTCTATGGAAATCAGCGGGAGTCTCCCCTCAATTTTCTCTGGCTTTTCATCAAAGCAAAGAAACATTTCAATGCTACCTTCAATGTACTACATTATCGTAACCCATATTACATGTTGACAAGTAAGCTGATTGCAGCCTGGGTGAAATTTCTCAAGGTATGGCACCTAGCCAACTTATAATTGGTGGAATTGGTGCATATAAATTATAGGCAAACCTTAATACGTGTAGCCAAATTTGTATTAAACAAACTGCTTATTAAAGTGGCCCAGTTGTCCTTTTCAGATTTTAGAAGAGATGATGCCTTGGACATTTAGAGGATGAAAAAAAGACTTACAAACAGACACATTTTAAAAGCTAAAATGTAAATTCTTCTTGGCTGATGCTACCACAAGTGAGACAAATGAATTAAGTGGAAGTTAATGCAGATTGATTAGAAAAAAGTTTTTTAATGTGACTATCAGCGCATTTGAAAATGTGAACATTCTTCATATGTGGATGCGTCCTACAAGCTGTAGTTGTAAGATGAAACCTCTGTCTAGTAACTAATAACTCAATAAAAGCTGAGTTAGCTTGTGAGAGTCAGGCAGCCACACTGAATTCTGGAGTAGAGTCCTTGACTGTTATTTGAGTCCAGCACTGGAATTTCAGCAGGAAGATGTCTTTTTCTATTGACCAGCCAAGATAGTAGGCCAAGCTCCTAGTGTTTATAGCTAACATGGCCAATCCAGGACTTTCATCCTGTTGCTTGACAACCAGAGTGGATGTTAATGACATTCCTTCTTTCCACATTCTTGTAAGATGTTCCTGGGCTGCACCAGGACATCTTCCTCATATTTTGGCAGTGGGATGTGGGTGGGGAGGAAATCATAATTGCATGGGACCTCTCTGTTGCATTTGGTGTAGAGCGGCAGATGCATTTCAAGGCATAATACAGCTCTTTTTGTGGTACGCTAGTGTGTCACAGCACATGCAATTTGGGAATCACTGAAGTAAACAGAATATGTCTTATATGAGCATTGCACCAATGCAGTGAAAAAGGGGTGTTTGCTATAAACAATTGCTATTGTAATCCATTAAAATATGAAATTATAACTCATGGCATATGGCAGACAGTGGGATGTTTCTCATGTTTATTAAAAACATGCCTTTTTGCCCAAGTGCTCTCTGACAATTGACAAAAGTTTTCAACTGCCTTCTGTACTGTTTTGATAATCATGCTTGTTTTACTCTATTGATATCTTTCAATTGACTTTTGGGGATAGTTAAAATGGTAAGCAGTCGAAAATGAATGAATAAATCAAATAATCATTTGAATGCTGATGTTACACACACACACACACACACACACACACACACCCCCCTGCTGAAAACTGGCCCTGTGAAAGTTCTGCTATTGATCTTCATAGAAAAGAAATAGGGAATGGTGTTATGTTTAGATTGCTGGAAGTTTCTGGATGAACTGCAGAAGAACACCAATTAGTCTCCATTTTCTTCAACTAAGGCTTGAAAGATGAAAAAGTAATTCAGCATAGCTTGTGTGTTCAGTTTAGCCCCTCAGCTTGTCATAATAAATTATGAGAAATGACAAGGGAATTAGGAAGTTGCAAATCAGACCTTAATGGAGATCTTAAGTGAAGAGAAAGCTCAGCCGGCCTGAACTGACACTTGCCAAATTCCAGCTTGGCTTGAAGGGCAATTATTTGTGTGACTCTCCCTTTGGCCCAAATACTCCCTTTTATTTCTCATTTCTCTTCTTTGTCTTTTCCCCTGATTTATTCTAATTTCACTGCACTAAAGATGCTAATATTTCGTCATGTATACCATATTCCTGGATGGTTATCCATCTCAAAAGGATTTTCTCCTGCCGTTCTTGCAAGGGGAGCAGAGACCAAAATTAGGCACTGAGAATAACAAAAGGCAACCACATGCAAAGATCAAAGGCGGAATTCTTCAACTTGAACTTGAAAGGACATGGACAGCAATGGCTGTCTCTCTCCCCCCCTCCGCCCCCGATGGAGCATGCTGCTAAGAGGAGCCAAATGACTAAGCAACGAGGCCTCAGGAAGCCAGAATGGAAGGTAAGGAGAAAAAGTGACTTGTGAAGCATCAAACCCAGGTTAAGCAGTCTGGAGAAAAAGATAATGGATGGAAATAAGTACACAGAGATGGGGGACCTCTAGCCATGCAGGCAGAGACTGATGGGTGTTCAAGTTCAACAATATCTTGAGGGCCACAGTAACCTGATCCAGCAGAGCTCAAACCCATTCTGAAAGTATACAATCAAAAGGAGTAGGTCAGGTAAAAAAAGGGTCAGTACTTACGTTAGCTTCCCTGGAATAAATTTTAAAATTGTAGGTTGGTGAAAATACTAAGAATGGTTAGCTATCCTTAGCTCTGTCCTCGCTTGAAAGACAATTCCCAGGGTCCCCCAGGAAGGATTTAGAGTTAAGCTATCTTATCTGCAGAAAATGCAGCTAAAACAGGGCCACGCCTGGCTCCTTCTGTAAGTAGACAGTTGAAGAAAGTGAACAGAAATAGAATTTATATGGATGAGAGCTGCTACCAGCCACATGCTGGGGACTTGGTAGGAGAAATAAGCAAAGCTAAGAAGGAGACAGAATGGAAGGCAGTGTTTTTGCAAGTCCCCAGGTGGTGAGAATGGAGGCTGGACAGGAAAGAGAAGAAGAGGGCTGGTGGGGCAGTTGTAGATGTGGAGGAATTGTTTAATAGGTCAAACTGGCAATGGCTGGTGGGGGTCTTGTGTATCATCTCTCTTTTACTTACACAAATGATTCTGATGGGTGACTCTTCGGCATACAAATTGTGGCCAAACTTGATGTCATGTGAGGAAACCTTGGGGCTTCATTGATGGAGAGCATGTGATGGAGCCAGGCCAGGGGAAGGGAAAAGACAGGGTCCTTCTCCCTCGCTCCTCCTCTATGCAAAATGTGTTAACTTACTGGTACATAATGGGCTATGCAAAGGTCAGGTTAGCAGAAAAAAATGGTATGAACACCAGGAATTGAATGACTGGCAATGCATTTTTTTTTGTTTTGGAAGGAAAAAGGATGTTAAGCGTACATGGGGATACAGAAAAATCCAAAACAAACAAAATAGTTTATGCTATAATTAAGAAGTTAAAAGCTAGCATGGAGCTTGTTTTCTTAAAAATATACCGGTATATCAGTTTTAATCTGGTACCACAACACCACCAAAACAACTAACTATTATAACAACAACCTTGTCCATACTACAAGTTTAGGGAAGGGCAGAGAGAACATAAATATTTTGGGTGTGTTTGTTAACTCCTCATTGAGGGTCTCTGCTTATAGCCATGTTCTTTTAAATTTTCCTTCCTGTTGGATGGTTAAGGGAAAACTTTGTAACTGGTTGCTATATAAAGGACTAAGCACTTGGAAACAAATGGTGAAAAGCAATTATTATCCTTGTCCTCATCCTCATTATGATTGGTACTGGTTGCTGAGTTGATTTTTCTGCCCATACCCCTGAAAAGGCCTCATCCTGAGCTGCACATAGTGGGAAAATCAGGAATTAGGCCTGCATTATAGCCTAGGTGGCCAGCCAACCAGCCAGCCAGCTAACTGTAGGGCTGACCAGCAGTGCTTCTCTTTCTCTAGGGCTGTTTTCATCCTTTGCCATCAAGCACTCAAGAAGAAAGAAAGTCATTATGATTGTGGAAATGGTGAGTGCTTTAAATGAGTAAAGGGTAACTTAGGGGTAAATCACTTTAAGTTACCACTTTATTTCATCCCTTAGCAACAAGCACCCGATCCTGCACTATTCATCATAATAACTGCAGAATAGACAGACACTTACTTCTTACTGTGGCCAAACAAGCATGCTTCTTTAGTGTAGAGAACTGTGTAGGGAACACAAATGAAATTGAAAATTATTATTATTATTATTATTATTATTAATTGAATTTATATACTTCCCTATACCCAGGGGTCTCATGAAAAGCAGAGCAAAGAAAATCTTAACTGTACCCCATATACAAAGTTTTACTATTTATCGTTTCAAGAGCCATGTTACTATGCAGGCTGTTCTGTTGGAGATCACTTAAGTAATTATAGATCAGGCAAGTCTTAAGTGAGAAGACTCTTCCAGATGAGGCTTTTCTTACGCGCTCACCTCGCCTCATTCACTGACTTTTTCACGGGGCCCTATTCTGAAATTACTGCTGCTCTTACAACAAGCCGTCCATCTTTAAATGGAGGATGTCACGCTATGTCATGCACACAAATTAATTTTAAAAAAATCCAGAGAGTGGACAAAGCACATCTCAGGTAACATACCACCGAAGTGTAGCTACAACCAGGCTGTAAGTAAAATGTAATAGCTCAGTTGGTAGAGCATGGGACTCATAATCTCAGGTTCATGGGTTCAAATCCCACCTTGGAAGATAACAACAACAACAACAACAACAACAACAACAACAACAACAACAACATTTATACCCCACCTATTTGGCTGGGTTTCCCCCAGCTACTCTGGGTGGCTTCCAACAAAAGATTAAAAATACATTAAAACATCAGTCATTAAAAACTTCCCTAAGCAGGGCTGCCTTCAGATGTCTTCTAATTGTTAATTTCTTTGATATCTGGTGGGAGGGCGTTCCACAGGGCAGGCGCCACTACCGAGAAGGCCCTCTGCCTGGTTCCCTGTAACTTCGCTTCTTGCAGTGAGGGAACCGCCAGAAGGCCCTCGGCACTGGACCTCAGTGTCTGGGTTGAACGATGGGGGTGGAGACGCTCCTTCAGATATACTGGACCGAGGCCATTTAGGGCTTTAAAGGTCAGCACCAACACTTTGAATTGTGCTTGGAAACGTACCGGGAGCTAATGTAGGTCTTTCAAGACCGGTGTTATGTGGTCTTGGTGGCTGCTCCCAGTCACCAGTCTAGCTGCCACATTCTGGATTAGTTGTAGTTTCCTGCATTGCAGGAGGTTGGATTAGATGATCCTCATGGTTCCTTCCAACACTACAAGTCTGTGATTCTGTAAATATAGATGTGGAATCATCCTCTGAGCTTGCTTTCTTCATTCACAGAGTTTAGGAGATACTGCCACCATATTTTTAATGTCTTTGTGCAGCTCTTAGACTTAGAAATTTACTTCTTTTTAAAAAATAAAATAAAAACACAATTCCATGTATTCTAAAAGCTGTGTGTGTGATCGATGTATGTAGAACATGCACAGACTTGTCTTGGTGACCGAACATGTCTTGTGGATCATAGGTGGCCCACTTCAAGGTTAGATCAACATCTGTGAAGAACAGTATAAGTTTAGTGATTCCTGCCACATTGCTGGGGTTGGACAATGACATCAGAGCTTCCTTCCAGGCCTGCAATTCTTTTATTGGATAATGGTTGGCCTTCTGTGGGGTCAACTTTTGCATGACCGTTGGTTGACCTTTTAAGAATTGATCAGACATGGAATTTGCTGCCATCATAAGTGAAGAGCTTGTGCAGATTTATTATTTGGTAGTTTATCATCAGCCAATGGAGACATTTCGTATTAAATCCGGGGATGTATCGGTTTTAGCTGCAGCAGCACTTGATAAATTATGCAGGTCTCTCTTGCACAGCTAGGATATTAATCTCAACCTTGAATGTGAAAAAGAGCATGATGTAATGGCCTCACCTGAGTTATTGCACAGAGGCAAAGCTTGAACTGCTAAGAAACCGATGCAATAATATCAGAGTTTAGAGTTTACATGCAATATTAAACCTTATCACTTGGCGCTAACTTTTGAAGGAACGTCAAAGGATTGCCTCCATCACACCCCTCAGGTCCACTTCTTAAAAGTAGAAAGAGATGATGTGCTTGACCGCAGGCTTAGACCCCGAATGGCATCCCTGTGTCAGGTTCTCCTCTGTAAGGCAGGTATGTGTGGGGAGTTTATTCAAACCTTTTCCAACCCTTAAGGGTCACATGTTAGTGGTGGTGGTGATGTAGAGGCAAAAGTGGCCCAAGCAACAGATGTAACTCTTCCCTGTGCCATGATCTTCCTGGTGGATCATCTAAACCAGGAGACACAGAGGGGGAAACGAAGACTCTTTCGGTTCTCCTGGCTCTTTCAGGTTTTGATACTTCTGACCTTGTTGACAATCGTCAACACCTGAGTAAAAATTGTTCCCACCCCCTTCAGTGTCAAGATGGTTGGACACTGAATTGTGCCTGCATCTCCACGTTTACCTCAGAAATGTGCACTGACTGATCTTTTCTCCAAGTTTATGTGTTGAGCAGGTTATCGCTGCCTCGTAATAAACACACTGCAGTTAAACGAAAGAGTGGAAGAGCTAAAGCTGCCTGAGAAACTCCTCTCTGCACACCAAGTAGTGTAACGGTTGGTAACACACCTTTCTTGGGCTCCCCTCCTCCATCCCAGACCCCTGTAAGCATGAAGGCTGCTGTCACGGAAACATTATTTGTAAACATCATTGCCTGCCTGTAATTGCCAATCATTGGTCTGGTGAGCGATGCTGCCCTTTGTGGATTGCATACAGCATTGGCTTCGTTCCCAGAGCAGCCTGGGCTTTCTTTTCTTTTCTTTCTGTATTAACTTGAAGATTTTCCAGTAGGCTGAGTAGCTTAGTAGATAACACATTTATCTTCCTCATTCAGGAATATAGTTGGAGAGTTCATTCTGAGGGCCAAAGCCAAAACGATATGAATGATTTCAACCCATGAAGACTTGTTCTTGTTTATTATGATTATTATTCATTTAAATTTCTGTACTGCCCTACAGTATTCTGTCATGGGTTGGGAGATGGTCACGTGCCAAAACGCATTTAAAATTATCTAAAGCTAGAGATGTGGGACATAATATTGACTTTGCTTCATGGGAACAATTGTGGAAAATTAATGTAAGGTCTACTCACAGGGGTCAGCAAACTTTTTCAGCAGGAGGACGGTCTACTGCCCCTCAGACCTTGTGGGGGGCAGGACTATATTTTGAAGGGAAAAAATGAATGAATTTCTATGCCCCACAAATAACCCAGAGATGCATTTTAAATAAAAGCATACATTCTACTCATGTAAAAACACCAGGCAGGCCCCACAAATAACCCAGAGATGCATTTTAAATAAAAGGACACATTCTATTCATGTAAAAACATGCTGATTCCTGGACCATCCATGGGCTGGATTTAGAAGGTGATTGGGCCAGATCCAGCCCCTGGGCCTTAGTTTGCCTACCCATGGTCTACTGCATGCTACACACTACAGGAAAACTTCATGAAGATGATGCATAGGTGGTATTTAACACCAAACAGATTAGCAAAGATGTCTAAATCAATAAGGGATAACTGTTGGAAATGTTAGGAGGCAGAAGGAACATTCTACCATGTGTGGTGGTCTTGCAGAATAATTAAGGACTACTGGGAAATGATTTATAATGAACTTTAAAAAATGTTCAAAAAAACCTTTTCCCAAAACCCAGAATCCTTTTTGTTGGGGATAATCACAACAGAAGTTACAAAAAAGAGAGCAGTTTGTTCCTGTATGTGACAACTGCCTCACGTGTGTTATTAGCACAAAAATGGAAAACTGATAAGGATCCAACGAAAGAAGAGTGGCATCTCAAAGTGTTAGAGTATGTGGAGTTAGCAGGCACAAGCACTAGAATAAGAAACTAAAACGATAAAAGCTATAAGGAGGACTGGATATTATTTATTGATTGTTTGAATAATTATTATAGACAATTAGCCTAGCAGTATGGTAATATTTTCAGCAGCGTAAGTTAAAACTAGAGTTAACAGGAGGAGCAGAGAAAGATTGAGGAAACTAAGAAAATGTGAGAGGAAGTGGAAGATAAAAAGAACCATGGAAGGACAGGAAGGGAAGTCCGTCAATGACTTTTTTCTTTTTTCTTCTTTTAAAAAAATGTAATAGAATATGCAATAGGAAAAATAAAATTACATATTTTCTACTACTTTCGGTGTTTTTTGTTATGTTTTTTCTTGTGTTGAATCAGAAATGCAAATAAATAATAATAATAAAATAATAAAATGATCTAAAGCAACTCAAAATGTCATTCTGTTATGATGTAAACTGGGAAACCTTAAACTATCCCTCAGCCTAAGCTACCTCACAAAGTTGCTGTGTGGTTAAACTGGAATCAACATAATATATATAACTCTGAGCTGCTTGAAAGAGGGGAGTTTAGTCCGATCTCCTGCTCACTGCAAGAAATCTAGAGCTACAACATCCCCAAAAGATGGGTGTCCAGCCTCTGCTGGAAGTCCTCAGGGAGGGAGAGCCCACCACTCTTTTAGGTAACAGGTTAAGGTCAAAATGTTTCTCCTATCCTCCTTTAAATTCAGGCCATTGGATCTAGTCCTGCCTTCTAGGGTGACAGAGTAGGGAGCTGCCTCAGACCATTGGTCCATCTAGCTCAGCATCCACACTGACTGGTGGCAACTTTCCAGGGTTTCAGGCAGAAGTCTTTTTCAGCCCTACCTGGAGATGCTGGGGATTGAACCAAGGACCTTCCGCATGTGAGACGGATGCTCTGCCACTCAGCTTTGGCTGTTCCGGAGTCTTTACCCTCTGGTTTGTGACAGCTGTTTGGGAGGGGGAACACATGCAACAGACAGGCAGACCATTCCATCCCAACCCAGAAGGCTTACAATCTTAAAGGCATTGGGGGTTGGGGAACCAAGGAATGACGCCACATAAACAAATCTAAAGGGAAATGGCATCAGCAGATGTACTCTCCAGTTACAGGAACAACAGGAAGGTATTCAGTGCTAGTCCTGCTCAGGGTAGATCACTGAATAACTTCGATTCGTTCATTTCATTTGGCTTACTATGAGCAGTTCTTAGCTGAATACAACCCACAGACTTTGCCACCGTAATGAGGAAGAAGGAGGAAGAGCCATGGGGTCCTAGGAAGCAATGAGCTGTCAAAAGCCCAGGTGGTTGTGGCACAGAAAAAGCCCGGGTTAAATACAGGGAACTGTTGTTACAATGGAATATGAACAAAACCCTGGCAAGAGAACAGGCCCAAAGGAGCAGCTGTGATTTGTATGCTAGCTCCATGATGGCCAGGGGGAGATATGGTGGTTCCTCTGAAATCCCCAACAACAGTAAACAGTGTCTCTCTCTCCCCCCCCACCCAACCACCCCGCTTTCTATATTCTGCTTCATCCAGGGCCGCAGCTCAGATTGGGGGGAATTTGCTCAGTCTGTGATGGAAGCTAGCATTCTCTCAAGGGGTGGCGGTAGGAGGAAGTGCATTGCCTTCCTTTACTCCAGGTCCAGGGCAGTAACTTGGCTTTGAGGATAACATATTTGAGAGCTGAGTGGGCTCTCTTTCTCACTGCTTCTACCCCACAGCGAACGATAACAAAACACATTTCTGTTTGGTATGCTTCCTGCAATTGTTCCAGAGAGTCCCCATTTTGCTTGCTTTTCAGAAAAGGCAGTTAATGGCCATTTGTTTGGCTGAGCAGCAGAGCTTTTCTATAATTACTTAATGGGTTCCTGAAATACTTTTTAATAGAAGAAGAGGCAGCAAGCAGCAGGCCAAGCCAGGGGGCCCTGAGAAGGAGGCCAAATTTGGTCCTGTGTGGATGTGGCTGTTCATGCTTAAAGTGAGAAAAGATGATGTGAAAAGTCACAAACGCAGCCAGATGCTCAGGAGCTATCAAAACAGGCTGAGGTTCTCTGAAAAGTGAGGCTGCTGTGAACTAGCAATACTTTATAAATCCCATGCTAGGAACCAGCTCCAATGCTTTTCCTGGCTGATGCCGAACCTCATTTTAAGTACTGGCAATTGGTTAGAGAAACAAGCATTTTACATAATGCCATTGTTTTGGAAAATGCAGACAGATGTTCTCCAGTCAAGCTATTGCAGTTTGGTACCCGAAAGCAGAAGCCCTGTTTTCTTGTTTGTATTTGAATTGTTCCGTGGTCGTTCTGTGGCTACACATGCCCCATGGCTTCTGTGCGCAGTTGTTTTGTGCAATTCCATTTGTTATGTTAGCCATAGCTTGCGCTGTCAGCAAGCTGAGACTAATGAAGGCCCAGTTATGACATTTTCACACCAGGTGCCTTCCTTAGCAGCAGAACAAGTAGAGCTCTTAACTAGGGAAAGCAATCCATAGTTTCCACTTCTGAACATCCAGCTCATGGCCTGGTGAGCTGCTGATGTAATAAGCAGACATGCTCACCGACTGTGAAAAGTGAGGCATACACCTCGCCTCTGGTCCGTGTGGTCGCATGCGTAAATTGCTCAAAACACTGGTGCCCTTAAACAATTCCAGCACTTGAATGTGGAGGGCTCTAAGAATCCCCTTACTTTCATGTGATTTTAGCTTGATAATTTTTCTTGGTTGTTTTAATTCATGGATACTTGCTGGCTGCCTAGAACATTCCTTGCTGGCTGCCTAGGTGGGATTATTATTATTTTTTTAAAAGAAACAAACAAGATCCAATAGACATCATCACCACCATCATTTATTACACTTAATAGGCACTAGTTATTTAGAAGCTGTCCAAGCAACATACATTTAAGACTTAGAACCATAGAATGGTTGAGTTGGAAGGGACCCTGAGGATCATCTAGTCCAACCCTCTGCACTGCAGGGATATGCAGCTGTCCCAAATGGGGATTGAACCTGCAACCTCAGCATTATTAGCATCATGCTCTAACCAGCTGAGCTATCCAGGCTGATCATGTCACTCATAAGGTAACATGCTTCAGGCCAGAAACTAAACAGATCTCAAATGCACCATTGCACTAAAACAGATCCATTTTCAAGTAGCAAAATGAGCATTCCATCCTCTTTCCTCTCAACTGTTATGAGAAATGGTTCTCTTAAAATAGTACCCAGAAAAGAACCACATTTGAAAGTAGATCTTTTGGAACGACAAGGGATACACATCCACCACCTCTCTAATTCGCATAGTGCCTTAATCTCCATGTACCTCTTTTGATCCCCGCCCCCCGCCACTGTATCCACAGAAAGACTGTGGTGGACATCGTAAAACCAGTTTCCATGCCCTGGTGTATCATCATGTGGCGCACTGCTGATCATATGCCGCTAAATAAAAAGCAAATGTATGTGCTTCTAAGTACAAGTAAGTCAATGCAGGGGTAAATATTTATCGCTCCTGCTATTTATTTTTTAAAATTTCCCTAGAGGTTCATATTATTGCCTTACTGGCAGTAATAAAAAAGGCCTTGCAAATCATTCAAACGTAGGAAGACCTTCAGAACACCAATTCTGATGTTTCGTAACCTTTCTGTTTCTCCAGGGCTCCTAACTGCTGCAGCCAGTCCCAGTGCTCCCTTCTCAAAGAACTCCTCTTAAAACCCATATCAAAAAAAGCATCGCTGGAGAAAGGCTGCACACCCACACCTATTTGACTGCCAGATCGCTCCACTTGAGTATTACTTTCATCATTATAATGTGTTTTCCTAATTATTAACTTCACTCTGTTTTCCTGTAACAAAAATCCGTGTTTGTAAATCTCCGGTACAATTAGCCATTATATATATATATATATATATATATATATATATATATATATATGTAATTTTCTCTTTCTCTGACATCTTCTGAAATGTTTGAAGACTGTCAGTATGTTTCATGGAGAGAGTGCTGTTGCACTTCAGTCCTGCTTATGAGCTTCCTATAGGCATCTGGTTGGTCAATGAAAACAGGATGTTTGATTAGATGTGCCTTTGGCTGGATCCAGCAGGACTCTTCTTCATATGTTCTTATCTGTTCTAGTGACCCTGCGTCTATGTAGGAAGATATTTAGTTATTTTTTCTCATTTATTTCCCCTTTTTTCTGTTTCCACGTATGCGTGCAAATCTCAGTACCTCCACTTCTCCCCACATGAACCTTCCTGTACCCTGTGGCCTTAATCAGAGGTCCTTCTCCATGTGTCTCATCTGAGGGAGGTACAGAGGGTAGCCACACATGAAGTGGTCTTGTCAGTGGTGGCCCCCCTGTTGGTGGAATGCTCTCCCCAGGGAAAGACATCTTATTTACCCAGGGCTTTGGTAGTTACACGCTCATAATTTAGAGGGGCAGGGTAGGACTTATGTTGCTAGATGAGCTTTTTGTGAGTTTTGTATTGTATATTGTTTGTTATATTTTTGGCTTTTAATTGATTTTATCTGTTCTTATTTTATCTTGCTCAGTTGCTTGGAGACTTTGTCTAAAGGGACTGACTAATGATGGTAATGATGATGATAAATCTGCTAATAAACTCTTATGGAGAGACCAGCATTCACCAAGCAGGGCATCAGAGGGGTTGTGGTATTCTGCTGTTCTGTAACTTATGGTGTAGAAAGGCTACAGACCCAAATAAACTTACACAGGAGTATGCCCCATGGATCTGTTCTATTTTGAGTTGCTGTGAATGTGAATTATCTATGCTTGGACCCATTTGTTTTGAAATCAATAGATTGACTGGTATGAGTCCTCCCACTAGCCATGGTTTGGCCACATCTTCACTATGCTGAGACTTTTAGGAACAAGCATACTGACCCATATGAATTCTATTAAATATTAGAATTGTTTCTTTCCCTTAGCTGAAGTTCAATGATGACAGATCTTGCTACATCTATTCCCACATCTGCTCTTCACCCTGCTAATCCAAAGTTAACCTCATGTGGCACATGCATATTTCCAGTGAGATGTCAGTGATAAAGAGTATATCCCCCGCGATTTCACAGTGCAGGAGACTGAATGCATGTACAAACAGGTCTTGACAAGCAGAGGAGAAACGTATTTCCCCAAATTCTACCTCTCACCACAACACTGTCACTTTTGCAGTGATATCGTGGCTGTGTAAGTCTATAAAGTTGAAGATGTGTCAGGTGTGGGAAAGTAAACTTTGGGTTCTCATGCTTCACATATCTCCATAGGCTGAGATCTAAAGGGAAAGGATGTGTTTATATTTTCAGTGGTGCACAAAATCCAGAAACTGTGGTAGGGGAGCACAATGAAACCACAATCTGGACTTTTCATGTGTTGAAGCAATGGAATGCAGTTGGTTCAGATTCAAGAGCAGGCTAACTACACCTCCAAAGGGAACATCTGCAAACTGACTCTGCGCATGCGCCCTGTTGGGCCAGCTTGTTCAACAATATGTAGCAGACAGCTCAATATATCTTAATCCCTTCCAATATAAAGGCTTCTTATACTTACAAAAACATGTTTGAGCTTTGATGAGTCCTTAGAGGGAGGGAAGCTCCATGTGCCCGCTGGGACTTGAACAACCGATGTGGCAATCCTGGGCCACAACATGCCCAGTTGGCGCATCTTGCCAATACCTCCCCCACAACCTTGATCTGGCACTACACTGGGAGATTCCATAGGAAGGATGATGTTATAGAAATGGTTACAGAAAGTTGTTTTAGGCAAAAAGAAAAGGAAAGGAAAAGAAAAGTTTACTTTCTGCATACAAAGAGGTAAAGGTAAAAGGTAGAGGACCCCTGGATGGTTAAGTCCAGTCAAAGGTGACTATGGAGCATACTCTTCAGGCTGAGAAAGCCAGCATTTGTCCAC